GAGCGCCTTGGCTCACCGGCCCTGTGCCGGGCGGGAGGTGGTGCTGAACGGACAGCTCCACGCTCCTCGGCCGGCTGGGCTGCAGCCAATGCCGCAGCGACCCCCTTGCATCCCCAGCTCCGCTCAGCGCCTTACTCCTTTCCGTCACTAACCACCCCCTCCCCCAGGCTCCGGTGACAGCTGTTGTTGCCACCACCCCCAGGGCGCGGCAGAGGGTTGCCTACGGTGACCTTTCCTGGTTGGGTCTGGCGAAGACCCCGACTGGGGGGCAGCTTGTGTGTCTGGGGCAGGATAGAAACAGGATCTCTAGGGTTCCCCTTTTAGGAACCTGAAGAAAAGTTTTCCCAAGCCTGGGGGTGAGGTGTGGGGGACAGGAGCCAGAGGAAGAGGAGGACAGGAGAGGTCAGGGACGCTTGAGGTTCCCGGACGAGCTCAGCTTGGCATGGGGATGGGGTGGTGGGAGGGAGTCACGGGGTTCAGTGGGGAACTCTGCGTGGGCAGCGCGTGTGTACAGGCCTGCGTGGTGTGCGGGCTGCGGGTGAGTGCATGGCGGTGTGTGTGTGTGTGTACAGTAGGAATTCTCAGTGTGTTGTATAGCGTGGATTAAAAGGGGTGGGGAGATGTATACAGCGCGCCAGCGCAGGGGAAGCCTGGGACACGTGTGAGCGTGATGTGTGTGTGATGTGTGTGATGTGGGGCTGTGTGCCGCGTGCACGGTGTGCTCACGCAGCACAGATGTGCTTCGTACTGAACCCCATTCCCAGGAGACTGGTGGCCCAGAGCTGAGCTCTTGGTCCCCTGGGATTGTCCTTAAGGTCCCCTAGGGAGCTAAGCTGAGAAACAGACCTGCAGTTCCTGGGGGCCCCTGACATGCATGGTGCCTTCTGCAGAGCCGGGAGCGCTGTGCTGTGTGTGCTTGGAGGGTCAGAAGTCCTGGGACAGCCCTTGCAAGAGAGTTCTGGACTCACAGAAAGAAGCACATCCTCTACACATGGCTCTGGTGGTGCCACCCAGCCAGGGAGCTGCTCTGAATAGCTCAGCAGTGCCCTGGGCCTCCTTGGAAGGCCTGGGCAGAACCCTTGATCTGGCTTCATGTGGGGGCTCCTGGTTCCAAACCTGACCCATCCCTGTGCCGGCCTCCCACCTCTGTGCGTGTCCATGAGTGTGAGTGTGTTACCCTCTGAAAGGGCTCCACACTCATGCCCTCTGGCATTTCAGGGAGGCTGCCACTGTGGGAGGGAGAACAGGCTGGTGAGAGTCACATAAGCTTGCTCTCTCTCCTTCTCATGTGTGTGATACTAGATCTGTGTGTGTGTGTGTGTGTGTGTGTGTGTGTGTGTGTGTGTGAGTAGACAGAGGGAGAGAGAGAGAGAGAGAGAGAGCTGGCATTTGTCGTCTCTGTCTCCATGTCTATTTCTATGGGAGTCTGTTTTGCCTGGTGCTCACCTTAGCCTCTGTCTGGGTTGGCTGCTCTGTCATTTGAGGCCAGGGCTCCCCCACACATGCTGGGCTGCAGTCTGGGGGCCTGGGGTCTCCTGAGCCAGCCCTGGTGGAGGCATGTGTGTTTCCATGCATGTGTGGGAGCCCTGCTGCCTCTTTCACTCTGGCTGAGCCCCTCCCACATCATGGGGGGGGCTGACAGGGTTTCTGCAGTAGGTGCCCTGGGTGACAGCCATCATAGCCTGCCGATCTCTCTAGCTCACCACCTCCTGTCTTGCTTTCTGGACCCTCCAAAGCTCTCAGCCCCTTCTGAGCAGCTCCTGCTCTTGTTACTGTTCCCGGCCACTCCCATTCTCTGGCCTTTCCTTCAAACTCTTCTGGTTGAACTAGATGCAGAAATCACCTTTTCTTGGTGTATTGGAAGTCTCCCTCCTGAAAATGCTTAACTTTTATGACTGTGGGGGTTACTTCCCTTCCCTGCTTTATTTACTGACCTCTTTCTTCTGCTCTGAGCTGTTTTTGTTCTTGCTCATTCCTTTTTCCTTTACGGTTGTGGGAGACTTTGCCCATGGACAGAAGGACCTCTCTGCTTTCTGTCTCTTTGACTCTCCCAAGCCTGCACCTACCCTGACCACAGACCTCTGGGGCGTTCGCCTCCCTTCTGCCTTGTGAGGAGCCATCCCATGCATCTCAGCTCTGTCCCATCATTCCCTGCTCTTGCCAAGTCTTCACCTCCCACTTTCACTCGCCCTCACTTTTCCCCTCCCTTCTTCCCGAGTCCTTCCATGCTCCAAGCTACATGACCCCTTGTCCACAGCTGGCCTTTGAGGCTGGGGTCAGGGACTAGTCTTCATGCCCCCCTTTCCTTGAACATCAAGGTGGGCTTGAGCCCATGGGGAGAAGCCCAAGTTGGGGCACATCCATTATTTCTTGGAAAGGCTCAGGCAGAGAAGCTCTTGGGTCTGACAGATGCCTTTGCAGAGGGTTAAGTATATGTGACAGGCAGAGCCACTTGTTTATTTCTCAGTCAGTGTGTTGAAAAGAAATGGAGCCATCTCCCTCCTTCCATACCAGGGAAGCTGGCTCTATTTATGGTTTATTTAGAGGTCTGAGCCCTGATCTTAAAATACAGCCGCCTGCTCCTGCACATGGCAAGGCTTGCTGGGGAGATGGTGAGGGGGTGGAGGGGTGGGGGAGTGGAGCCCAGGGAAGGGGGATGAGGGGACCCCGCACGGTGGCCCAGATCCTTCCACCTGGGTAGCTGCTCTCTCTGCCTTCCCTGCCAATGCAGATCTCAGCTGAGCCCACACATCTCAGACTCAGCTTTTCCCCCCTGACAGGCGAGGGGGCTGCTCTGGCGGCTTGGCGGAGGGAGCTGGGCTGCCTGACCTACATTCCCCACTAAGGGGGAAAGCTGTCCCTGTCCTTCCCCCGTGACCTGGGCTGTGGTCACAGGGTGCCTGTGATCCTGCTAGAATGGACTCTCTCTACCTGTGTCCACTGTCTGCCACCAGCCACCTCCCACCACAGCCTAAATGTTTCTTAAAAACCCAGACTTTGCTCCTAGAAGCCCTCCAGGGGATTCCCCTGTATGGAAAAGGAAAGCCACTTGCTTCCCACCGCTTCTAGACTGTGATGTGCCCCTGCCCAGCTGGCAGACTTGGCCCTGGCAAAGGACCTTTGTACTATTGCCCTTTCTACTGGCCGAGGGAGGCTCGCTTGTCGTTCAGGAAATGTCATCTCCTCCTTATCGCCCAGGTTACGGTGGGCCCTCCATCACTGTTTCTCATTGACTTCAGCAGCACATTCACATTAAGTAGTATTGAGTATGTGATTGAATGGTGAATGAAGGAGGCTCCAACTGCGATCTTAAGGTATTTTGCACCAGCCAGAATCCGGCCCCAACACCTCTTCCTCCTGCTAGAGCAAGAAGGGGCCTGGGGGAAGAAGGGGTTCTGGCCCTGGGGCTATGGTGCAGAGCCCCCAGGGGTGGGGGTCTTCTCAGAAGGAGTTAGATCTAGCAACCTAGTGCCTCTCATCCTGAGTTGTACATTAGCATCACCCAGTGCAATTTTAAAATGGCCAGTGTTCCTAGATGCCTTGGGTCTTGCATCAGACCAATTAAGTTTAATTTCTGCTGGAAGTCATGGGAAATCAGTGTTTTCCAAAAGCTCACTCCATGATTCCAGTGTGGGGCCATGGTGGGGAGTGTGACAGCTGTCACTGGGGGTGCGGAACCAGAACTGTGCGCACACAAGCTGGCATCCAGCGGTCAGCACCAAGGGCAGGGGCTGT